ATCACGGGCTGCAGGGGAATCTCTGCTCTGATGCCTGGAGCACCTCCTCCCCCCTCCTTCTTCACTGACCTTGGTGTCTGCAGGGTTGTTTCTCTCACTCCTCTCTGGCTGCAATTGCACAGTTTTCTTTTCTCCTCTTTGTAAGTGTTATCACAGAGGCGCTACCACCATCACTGATTGGCTTGACCTTGGCCAGTGGTGGGTCTGTCCTGGAGCCAGCTGGCATTGGCTCTATCAGACATAGGGGAAGCTTCTAGCAGCTTCTCACAGAAGCCACCCTTGTAGCCCCCCCTGCTACCAACACCTTGCCATGCAAACCCAATACATTTATGGAGAAGCAAAAGAGGATGGGAATTCTCTGGGGTGTGAGTCAAGTCCCTGTGTTGACTTGGGCATGGAAGGGGCTTTGAGGAGGCTGTCATTAATGTTCTTTCTTGGGGTGGGTCTCCCCTCGGTTCTCCAGAAATTATTATTCCCTGGGACAAAGACCCAGTTTTCCCTTAGCTGACTCAGTTTTCCATCTGTTGGATAATAAAACTCTTGTCACAATTGATACAACTGGAGTGAAGAGCTTGAATAATGAATTTGAGGGTTTCAACAAAGCCGTTGTGTAAGAAAATCACCAGAAAGCTACAATATTTTATCCTTTTAACCAGAATCTTAGTACTGTGTTGGTTGTCTTACTCTCCATTTGATTTTGGCTTCTTAAAACTTATGCTGTGCACTGTTTCTTTAGCCTGTCCTCATTCAAGAAAATAGTGTTTAGTTGTCTACTTCTTTGACATGCTCTTCTTTCTCTTTTTTTTCCTCTCCCTTTGGTGGGGGCATTTTAGGATAATCTTTTTGAATGGCATTTTACTGTCAGAGGCCCTCCAGATTCAGATTTCGATGGAGGGATTTATCACGGGCGAATAGTACTGCCACCTGAATATCCCATGAAACCACCCAGCATTATTTTGCTGACGGTAAGCATGTTTCCTAGGTTTTCCTTTTTATGTGATCAGTTTAACCGTAGGTGTCTGAGAGGGAGATTCTTGGCATTTAAGGTAATGTTATTTTTGTAAGAAAGGGGGCATAGTACAGTTAATGCTGCCAATTTAAGACCAGAAGTCTTCCAAGGTGACTTTGGTATTCTGTAATTACATGAAGCTTTGCACCTAATGAATGGAAGCTTCTGCCAGGACTAATCACATTGCTGATGTGATTGTCTAACCTTCTATTCTCTCCATGGGCCCTCTTGGTCTCTGGTGGAGACATTGGTCACATGTAGGAAGGCAGACCTATGGTTTGGGGCAAAGGCCCACGTTTCTGCATAGTTTCATAAAGCTATAGCTTTTCAGGCTCTCTGCATATGGTGTGTGGGTTACAGGAGCAACAGGCAAGCCACCATGTCATACTGGGACATGTGAGGTATCAGTTAAGGATTTCTTCATGCATGAATAGAGGCAGATGGCAGAATTCTTTGTTCAGAAAGCTGAATACCAATTTTGTGAGGTTGGCAGTCGTATAACTATCAAGTATTATTTGCATATAGATTTGTTTGATGGTGATTTTTACAACTTGTACCAAAACCCAAGAGTTAACTTCCAGCATGTTTTATATCCTCCTTCTTCTTTTGAAGGCCAATGGCAGGTTTGAAGTGGGGAAGAAAATTTGTTTAAGCATCTCAGGGCATCATCCTGAAACATGGCAGCCTTCGTGGAGTAGTAAGTAACAATTACTTGGAAAATGTTACCCCCATCAAGCAACTAGATCTTTAAACTGAAAAAAGTCTCACAAAGAATGTTTATAGTGGAAAAGGAGACAGATTTTGAGGGACTAAAAGTATGGGAGAATTTGAAAAATATGAAGTCATGAAAGAGTGACATAGGAGGATTTGGGAATGGTATTAAAACAAATGCGGGGTGAAAAGATTGAGAAACTGAGGGGTGATGGTAAGCTCTTATTTATTTGGGTGCACAAGCATTAAGAATTCTCAGACTACTTAGAATATTTTTTTTTTTTTTAAATTGTTCCTATGAAAATACTTTAAATCCAATTACTTTACCCTGTTTTTGTATAATCACTAAAACCAGCTTGAATATTGATAGAGGGGAGCATGGTCAGCTTTTAATTCTGATGCTGTACTTCTGAACACTCAAGAGGAAAGACAATGTGGTCAGAGCTCAGAATAACTGAATGTTTTCTACGTTCTTTTTAAGTTTCATTGTCACAGAAATTGAGAGTTGGCATAATTCATCCAAGGCAATATTTCTGTGTGTATATAATTTTAGTTTTGCTGAGTACAGTACATAATTATTTCTTTGGATATCAGTTGCACTTTTAAAATATGTTGATATTTGAAACTCTTCAACTTTTGTAAAATCTCTTACTTTTTTTAAAGAGTAGAAAATACTGTCTTCTAAATAGGAGGTGTAAATATCCTATCTCTATTTTGTGGTACTTCATGTGATATTTATTTACCAAATCTGCTAGCAAAGTGTCTTGAATTCTTGAATTTCATGACTATGTAAAACAAAATTGAAGGATGGATACTGTCAAAAGAGATGTTTTAGATGACAATTCTGTTATGAGTTGTTACTAGTATTTAGGTAAGCTCCTTCCTCAGCATGATGACATAAATGGAACAAATTCTGCAGTACACTGCATAAGAGAAAATCACTGATCTTGTGTGCACTAAATTGCAGAATTCGTGTCTAATAGAAAACACGCACAAAAAGAAGAATGCCTTATGAATCCTCTTCTTCTTCCCCCACCATTTATATGTTAATTCTGCCTTACCTTTTTTCTTCAGAACCCATTTTTAAAGTGTAGAACTCTAATCTTTATATTGATGCAATATTTTTGTGACAACTTATCTTTTCTTCTCTGTTGGCTGATGGAAGAATAAGGCCTTACCTTTCATTTATAATGTGAAGTTTAAGAAAGCCTTGCTATGTACCAAAAAAATAGTGCTGCTTGTATGAAATTCAGACTACTCTTTTGGGCAAAATGAAGTTTTGCAGGCAGAACCACAACTTTTCTGTACTGAGTGTAGAGTAATATGAAATAACAGTTGTTTCTGCAACCTTGTTTGTATCTCTGTTTTCCCATTTTAGTAAGAACAGCTTTACTAGCCATTATTGGATTTATGCCAACCAAAGGTGAAGGAGCAATAGGATCTCTAGATTATACACCAGAAGAAAGAAGAGCTCTTGCAAAGAAGTAAGCACTAAGTTTGTTACTGTAGGTACATATATATGTGCTCTCTTTTAGGGTAAGGCACTGAGTAGAAAGTAAGTCACTTCAGTCTGTTCTCTTGCATTTATTCCAAATATAAAAAAAGTTCTATGCCTTGTATATGTATTTTCTTTTTTCCTGAACATTGTGCAAACTCGGAACTTACGGTCAAACAAAATACTTTGAGAGGGCTGTGTTCCTTCCAGCATTGTGTGGTCAAATTAGAGGTTCGTCTGAAATTCAGGCTTAGAGATGTAATTAACGTTGTGATACAGTGGTAATTGTGCCGTGGAGGGAAAATGAGTATGATGGAATTGATAGTAAGTGTAAGTGGGGGAGAAAACAGCCAAAACAATGATGCATCATTTCCGTTAAGTAAGTAAATAACAATGAAACAATGACAAAAAAATCTGAAACAACTGCTTCTGAATGATATTTAGGAAATGAACTTAAAATCAGATTTGTGACTATGATGAAATGATTAGCTTAGTGGACAAGGGGAGAGCAGTGGATGTTGTTTATCTTGACTTTAGCAAGGCTTTTGGTGCTGTCTTCCTTACCATCCTCAGAGAAACTCATGAAGTACAGCCTAGGTAAGTGGAGACAGGTGGATTAAGAACTGGCTGAGCTGCCTGACTCAAAGGATTGTGGTAAGCAGCACAAAGTCCAGCTGCAGACCAGTCACTACTGGTGTACTCCAGGGGTCGATACTGCGACCAGTGCTATTCAGTGTCATTAATGACCTTGATGATGGGGCAGAGTGCACCCTCAGCAAGTTTGCAGATGATACAAGATTGGGAGCAGTCGCTGATACACCAGAAGGTTGTGCTGCCATCCAGAGGAACCTCAGCAGGCTGGAGGAATCTCAAGTTCTCTATGGGGCCGGATGGGATCCACCCCAGAGTGCTGAGGGAGCTGGCAGGAGGAGCTTGCCCAGCCACTCTCCATCATTTATCAGCAGGCCTGGTTAACGGGGGAGGTCCCGGACGACTGGAGGCTGGCCAATGTGATGCCTATCTACAAGAAGGGCCAGAAGGAGGATCTGGGGAACTACAGGCCTGTCAGCCTGACCTTGGTGCCGGGGAAGATTATGGAGCGGTTTATCCTGAGGGCGCTCACAAGGCATGTGCGGGACAACCAGAGGATCAGGCCCAGCCAGCACGGGTTCATGCAAGGGAGGTCCTGCTTGACCAACCTGATCTCCTTCTATGACCAGGTGACCCGCCTAGTGGACAAGGGAAAGGCTGTGGATGTGGTCTACCTGGACTTCAGTAAGGCCTTTGACACCGTCTCCCACAGCATTCTCCTCGAGAAGCTGGCGGCTCACGGCTTAGACAGGTGTACTCTGCGCTGGGTCAAAAACTGGCTGGACGGCCAGGCCCAGAGAGTTGTGGTGAATGGAGTTCAATCCAGTTGGCGGCTGGTCACAAGCGGTGTTCCCCAGGCCTCAGTTTTGGGGCCGGTCTTGTTCAATATCTTTATCAATGATCTAGACGAGGGGATCGAGTGCACCCTCAGTAAGTTTGCAGATGACACCAAGTTGGGCGGTAGTGTTGATCTGCTCGAGGGTAGGAAGGCTCTGCAGATGGACCTGGACAGGCTGGATCGATGGGCCCAGGCCAACT